AGTTAATGGGATCTTCAGCAATTTTCTCCAACACCACAGCTAAAATGTACTGGTTTGGGACATTTTGAATTGGATAGTGATACACTGTTCTATGCTGGCACTGAAAAATTGAAGAGTTATGATGCTGCAAGGACTCTGGGGCTTCGTCTGACATACTTTGGGCATGTTGAAAGGAGGGACAGGTCCTTGGAGAGGGACATCATGCTTGGGAGGGTGGAGGGACGGCGCAAGAGGGGAAGGCCCTCTATGAGATGGATTGATTCAGTGACTGGGGTAATCGGGATGGGTGTGTCAAAGGCAGTATGATTGGCACAGGATAGAGAAGAGTTTAGGGCTGTTGTACATAGGGTTACTATGAGTCGCAAACGACTCGATGGCACATAACAACCACAATTATGCTGCATTCATCATCAAAAAGAACATCTCAAGTTCTGACCCAACTCAAAATCCAAGTCAGAACCCAATCTATGTTGTCAGTAGAATCATATATGTACACGCATATAAGGAAGATCTATTAGCACAAATTATTTTTTAGACACTAACCACTAAAGCCAAACATGAAGAAATTGATGGTTTTCTAACAAATTCTGAAATCTGAAAGTGATTGAACATGTAATGAAAATATATCAATAACTGGTGATTTGAATGCAAAAGTTGGAAACAAAGAAGTGTTGTTGCTGTTTTATATGTTGTCAAGTTGCCTAGGACTCACAGTGACTCTATGCACAATAGCTCTGAACTCTGCTCTGTCCTGAGCCAATCGCACTGTTTCTGACACACTGACCCTCACTACCCCAGTTACTCATGTTGTTATTGTTATGTGCTGTCAAGTCTCACGTGACTCTTAGCAACCCTGTGTACAACAGCTCTGAACCCTGCTCTGTCCTGAGCCAACCTTATTATCTCTGACACACCTACCCCCATTACCCCAGTCACTGAGTCAATCCATCTCATCCAGGGTCTTCCTCTCCTGCACTGTCCGTCCACCTTCCCAAGTATGCTGTCCCTCCTGGCCACATGCCCAAAGAATGTCAGATAGAGCTTTAAAATCCTTGCTTCCAAGGAGCAGCTTGGTATCACCCTCTCTAGGATAGACCTGTTTGTTCTCCTAACAGTCCTTGGTATATTCAATTCTCTTCTCCAGCACCATAGCTTAAAGGCATCAATTTCCTTCTATCATCCCATAGAAAATGTTATTTTATATGCATGCAATTTAACATGAAAGGAATTCCTGCGTGGATATTTCCACTTTTCAAATAAGGAAACTTAGACTCAGAAAGGGAAGGGAGTTGCACCACAACTTCTGTGAGGCTTTATCAACACACAAGTTTAGCTCTCCTCCACCCTGCGTGCTCTTCTTCTTCATTTCTCGGGCAAGAGGCAAGAGTAGTGCTCCCAGTCTTTTGGGTGCACTATGTCTCATGGGCCAAAGGATTTCAAGGTGATTATGGAAGTTCAGGTAGGTACTATGAAGGCAGAATTAGGAAATGCAAACCCCATGCACGGGGCTGGGGGGTACAGCCACTGGTCAAAAGCAAAAACACCCTTGACATTTGAGCAAGGACTTCTTCGGCAGCAAGGCCCATGCCTCTACAAATTCATTCTAACCCTTAATCCTGGGGTGGGGAAAACTGGAAAAAAATGGAGAACAAAGTATTGTAGAAGGCCATTTAGAAAGATAGAAGCTGAGAGACATTGTACCACTAACTTGCTGTGTGACTTTAGGAAAATTCCATATCTTCTTTGGGCTTCACAATTATTTTTGATAGGAAGGCCTTATCATTATTGGAGATGAGGCTTGAAAACTCAGGTGACTTTAGGGGTTTGAATGGATCAGACAAGGAAGATGCAAGCTGGACAGCCAAGGCCCAGTCATGGAGTTTTCCTATTTGATTCCACCAATATTGCCAGGAGAGAAGAGCAGGGAGGCACAGGAGACCTTGGTTCTAGTCCCAGGACCAGCATTTACTTGTCTCATTTTTTTAGAAGACAAGAATCTAGATTCAAATCAACTCTTTGTTTTAAATGCAAACAATTAATTAAAATCAATCATGATGTGTGACCAGTTGAAATATACTAATGAGCCGTTCACAGGAAAGGTTGTTCAACATTTATTTGGTGCATTTGTTCATTAGATGCGATTTTGGGTCCTACTGTGAGTAACTGAGTTGTGTTGGAGAAGAGTACTGAATATACCACGGGCTGCCAGAAGAACAAACAGGTCTGTCTTAGAGAAAATGCTCTATAGTCTGTCTTTGGAGGCATGGATGGTGAAGCTTCATCCCACACAGTTCAGGCATTTTGTTAGAAATGGCCAGTCCTTGGAAAAGGACATTACACTAAGAAAGTTCAGCAGAGGAGAGGAAGACCCTCAACAAGATCGACTGACCATAACAACGGGCTCAAGTACTTCAGAGTTGATGATCAACAGATGGCACACAACAACAACAACAACTATAACTATAAGACAGTGCTTATCAAGATAGACATGTCCATGCCTCTGAGAAGAGTTAAAGTCCAACCCCTGACTATGTCTCTGAGTGCAGATACCTTCATAGGAGTGAAGACCCTCTGAAATTGGCCTCTTAGACTGTGCTTCCAGTTTTTGAACACCTACTAAGTGTGCTTCCAGTTTTTGAGCACCTACTAAGTTTTTGAGCACTGTGATCAAGGTGGATGAAAGTCCCTGGCCTTGTGAGACCTGGGAGGTCAGCTGAGCTGTATGCTTCTGTCCTTTTTGCCTCAAGCTCCCTGCTTGACTCTTCAAGGTCTACTTTCTTCTCTCCAAAAAGGGAAGGGAGACAAATGTCTCCTTGGAGAAGTTATCAATCTCTTGGCAATGTCCTCAAGAAATACCTGTATATGTGTCCAAACCCATAGCCCACAGTGTTCTCAGAGGATTATTTGTCAAGTGAATAACCGAGATCAACCTGAAGGTACACCAATAGAGGAAGGGAGAACAGTGTGGGCGGTCACTCACTGGGACACTTTTTTGTAGTTAGATGGGATGGATGAGGCCTCTATTTCTTGACAAGAGTAGATCCTGACAACTTAATAATGAGAAGGGGTGGGGAGACATTGCTGAAGAACCTACAATTAGATAACCTTTATGTTGAATAAAAGAAATTCTATGTATTATTTATTGATGCATGACATCTAGATGATGTAAACTTTTAAGAAGATGGACTCATTAATGGCAGCAGTTGGCTCAGGAGGGATGGATGAGAGTTCAATTTTATATTAGTTTTAGGAATTTTTAAAATTTTATTTTAAAATACTCTGAAGCGATCAGAACAAAGTGGGTTCTTCATAGGGCGTTCCTGGGACATTTAATAGAATTCTCTTTGCTTTCCTGTTTTTTGTCCTACCCCGTAATAAATCAAGTATATGGGATGAGATGCTCGGAGGGTGGAGGAACAGTACAAGAGAGGAAGACAGACCCTTGATGAGATGGATTGACTCAGTGACTGGAATAATGGGGGTAAGTGTGTCAGAGACAATAAGGTTGGCTGAGGATAGAGCAGGATTTAGAGCTGTTGAACATAGGATTGCTATGAGTTACAAGCGACTTGACAGTATATATCAACAACAACATGGGATGAGAGAAATTATATCCATTGAGGCCTTTCTCTGTGTCAGACATTGCCTTGGTGTTGGCACCCACTCACAGCTGACCCTCGCAGAGTTTTGAAGGTTAAACCTCCAAGGGAGGAGAGAACCCATCTTTCTCTCTCAGAGGTGCTGATGGAGCTGAACCTCCAGAGAGGCACCGCCTCTGGATGAGAGATGCAACTCCCTCGGACAAGGGACTCCACCAATTGCCTTTTAGTTGATTTAAACTCATGACAACTTCCGGTATGTCTGAGTAGAACTGTGTTGCATAGAGTTTACAGAGTCTGTTTCCCTGGATTCCCCCGCGCGGCCCAGAAGCCAATCACCAGGTCTTTCTTCCGCAATGGGTGCCCTTGAACTTTTAACCTTTCCATTAGCAACTGAGTGTAGTAACCATTTACACCAGCAAGTGGTTTCACAGCTATGGCAGTAATTCAATTAAGCACATAGACCTGTCAGACACTCTTAAGAATTCCCCCCCCCCAACTCAATTTAAGCCTCAAAAACAGCCCTCCGAGGTCGAGGTCGGGATTATTATTACTGTAATCACCCCCCAGGAAACCCAGGCACAGAAAGGCCCCCTCCCCCACGACCCTAAACTGTCTCTTTAAGAGGCAGCAACCGCAAACAAGCATCACTTCTCCTGCAGCCTCTGAAGAAGGAATTAAGCAGCCAGTGTTGCAGAGGAGAAAACTGAAATTCAGACCCACGACATGGCCAGTTCGAGGTCTCACAGGGGCAGCACCTTGGGGTCTGCCCAGGAGGTCTTGGGGTTTGACTGAGGTTTGTTGGGGGTCCCTGCTGAACCGGGCAAGGGGAGGGAGCTCTGACCGGCTCAGTGGCTGCTTTTCGGCCTGAGGGGGGCCAGCTCAAGTCGCCTCCACACAGTTGCTCCCTTCCCGCGCCGGCCTGGGGCGGGGGACCCCAACCAGTTGCCAGCCCCCCGTGCGACCATCAGTCACCCCGTCTCCAGTCATCGGGGCCCTCCCCGCCGAGCTGCTCCGAGGAGCCCTGTCCCTTCCTTCTCGTTTTTGTTTTTTTTTTGTTTTTGGGTTTTGGGTTTTTTTTCAGAAGGGGAACCTGGCCGGCCAGAGAAGTGGCAACTGGAGCACCAAGTCACTCCATGGCCCTGCGCGTCCCCTCCTCTAGGGCTGTCCCAGGCTCCCGGCTGGGTGGAGGCAGTGCCCCCCCAACCCCTGGCCACCCACCTGTGCCCATGTGGCTTCCCTCCCACCCCCCACCTGCGGCTCCCCGGACGCGCTCTGCGCGGGCCCCGGTCCCTGGCTGCACTCACAGGGTCTCTAGCTCAAGACCCTGTGCGTCCTCTCCACCCCAGGGCTCCCCGGCCAGGGGCCACACCTCCGTCACGGTTCGCGGGGCTCACTCACCTGGGCGCCCGCTCCTGGTCTCGCGGGCAACCCGGATTCTCGCAACTCGGGCGCCCCCCCAGCTCTGCAGTCCCGGGGGTCCCCGGACACCCAAAGCCTGGAGGAGAATGGGAGGGACTTTCGGGAAGATGCTCGGAGGACTTGTGTGCAGCTGGCCTCCAGGCGCTGGACTGTCGCGGTCCCTTCTCCTATTCGCCTCGAAGCCTGGGCGGGGCGCCAGGGCTGGAACCCGCGACACCGTGGCCTCTACAGGCCATCGGGGTACCTCAACCCCGCCCCAGAAACGTTAACCCCGCCCCAAGGGCCCGATCCTCCCCTCACCCAGATCCTCCACCATTCTCCCTTCACCTCGTGAATTCTAACCCGCTCTGGGTGGGGTCTAACGTTGGCCCCTCCTACCAGGACCCCGAACTTCCAACTCTGCGCGTCCGAGGCTTCCAGCCCTCACCTCAAATCACGTCACCTCGCCCCAGAAAGAGTCTGACCCGCCCCCAAAGATTCAAAACTGCACTCTAATCCTAAACCACCTCCCAAATTGACCTCCATCCTCTCCTCGTAGTATCCTAATCTCCTCCCTAATTTATTCTAAAACCCCCTCCCAAAGAGCCTTACCCAATCCCAGAGGGATTCCCCACCCTGCCCTCGGCCTTTCCACCCTCCTTCCAGAGGACGGGTTCACATCCTAACCTCACCCGCAGCTGGACTTTTAATTCCACTTTCCAAGGATTTTTAATCTGACCCATTGGCTGTTCTAATTCTGCTCCCAAAGATTTTTTAACTCTTCAAAGAATTCCAACCCTTCTCTCTAGATGTATGGGCCTAATTCCGGGGACCCGAATACAGAGATTCCCAGCCTCACTCCAGAAGGATTTTTAACCCATTCCTCAGAACTTTAAACCCTTTCTCACAGATTCCAAGGTGCCCCCTCCAAGGATTCTAACTCTAAAGAGACAATCCGAACCTCTCTTTTCAAAGACTAGGTCCCAACGTCACGAACTCCACCTCTTCTCGCCTACCAGGCTTCTGCCTCCTCCCCAAGCCCCGCACTCCAATCCTGCCTTGCTCACCTACTCCCTAAAATAGCTAACTCAATCCCACCTCCTTCTCCAGAGTCTTAAACTATGGTGGCTGAGTGGTAAGGAGTTGCTCTACCAACCCAAAGCCACGTGGTTCGAATCCACCAGTTGCTCTGCGGGAGGAACCTCTGCAAAACGCCTGGAGAGTCAGCTGTGAGTCGTTGCCGACTCCACCGTGCTTTGCTACAACGTCCACTGATTGCAAGTCCGCGGGAGCTTTGCTAACCTAAAAGTGGGACCTCTCTGGCGGTTCGGATCCGGTCTCCTCCGGTACCATCCACAGACTCTGAAAACCCGCTGGAGGGTCAACATTGAGTGAGTGGGTTCCCGTTCCCCAGCAACGAGTTTGAGTTTTCAGTTTTGTCAAGATCCTAACCTAGTTTCTCCATCTCCTCTCATCCTACAGGTTTCCAATCTTACCCCACCTTCCCAGGCTTCTAACTCCTTCCTTAGGGATCCGGATGTCTCTGTCACCTGTTGGTCATCTCAACCAACCTTCCTTAGGCCGCATCTCAGACCTTCAGGTCCGCTCTGTGCTTTGTGGTTGGCGGCTTCCCCTCCCACCCCCGGGGCTATTCAAACTCCATGCAAAGTTCTGCGGTTTCAAGAATTGGCCTAGCTGGTTCCTGTCGGTTTCTCAGCAGCTCACTTCCCAAAATGAGGGGCGCAAAGTGGTTGGGGGACGGCTGGAGGTGCTAGGAAGCGAATGGGACCTGGCTCAGAGCTGAAGAAGAGCCCAGTACATTCACTCTAGCAAATAAAACGGTTGCCACCCTGAATTCTGCCGGGCATATCTTTAAAACGGATCGCACCTTCCTATTGCACTGCTACAAGCCATTTCTGGCCCCTGTTCTCTCTTATCCATTCATTCAGGAATATTGTGTGGGGCGCTGTGCTGTGTGATAGAACAAATAGGTATCCCTGCAGGGTTTTTAGCAACATGTCTGACCTCTACCCGCTAAACTGACAGGCCACGTGATTCTTTGCATCAACAATCAACATAGATAAGGGCAGCAGTCAAGAAATCACACCAAGTATTGCATTGCGCAAACCTGCTGCAAAAGGCCTTTTAAAAATGTTAGAAAGCAAAGCTGTCACTTTGATGAGTAAGGTGTACCTAACCTAAACCCGTGAGGACCTTCCAATTGCCTCACAGGCATTCTAAAGCTGAACACAAAGAGAGGAAGTTGTTTGTTGTTATGTGCGGTCAAGTCGCTTGCAACTCATAGCAACCATAGAACAAGAGCCCTAAACCCTTCTCTATCCTGTGCCAACCTTATTGTCTCTGACACACCTACCCCCATTGCTCCGTCACTGAATCAGTCCATCTCACTGAGGGTCTTCCTCTCTTGCGCTGTCCTCCCACCCTCCCAAACATGGTGTCCCTCTCCAAGGACAGGTCTCTCCCTGTAAAATGTCCAAAGTTTGTCAGATGAAGCTCCAGAATCCTTGCTTCCAAGGACCAGCCTAATTTTACCCTCTCCAGGATGAACTTGTTTGTTCTCCTAGCAGTCCATGGTAGATAGAAATAATAAAAATTAAAAAAAAAAGATGCATTGCAATTGTGGGAATGATGAAGGCTATTGGTCATATCATGAGCTGTAAGAACACATCTGCTTTGGGATGCAAACCAGAACGCCCCTTAGGAGTGAGCAAGGAGAGACTTGGGTTTTTGTTTTTATTCTTGATTAAGAAAGAGCAGTCGTTATGAAAAAGACAGAGTTGTTGGTAAAATAGTTGTCGTGTTGTTGTGAGGTACCATCAAATCAACCATGAGTCTTAGTGACCCTGTGAACAACAGAGCTGAGCCTTGCTCTATCCTGGCCATCCCCACATCTCTGGTGTTATTGTTACAGTCACTACTTCTGTTGAGGGTGAATTAAAAAAACAACCTGGGTGAGGTAGGTTGACAAAATAGCTGAAACAATGACTTAAATGATAAGGATGCTGCAGGCTCAGGCAACACTGGCTTCTGTTATGCGCATAAGGCGGCTGTCAACAACAACAACAACAGGCAGAAACAGGCAACCAACAACCTCATGCTAGAGGCACATGCTCCCCAAGTGTGAGAACCAAGAGTATCTCCAGGCATTGCCAAGGGCCACCTACTGGCTTACAGCAATAAAAAAGAAAGACAATGACTGTTCTTGTGTGTGTGTGTGTGTGTGTGTGTGTGTGTGTGTGTAATTTTAAAGAAAGATAGTGGTTAGTGTATGTTTAATCTACCTACGTGGTATATCATTAATTTCACACTTTAGTCCATTTTATCACTAGACTTACTATCTAGTCATGGTTCTGAGGGTATGTGTGGTTCAGTATTTTGTAACTACTGGGAGTCATTGTTCCCATCCTCCATATGTTATTATCCCTTTCTGTAGTCAAAGGCATCTACATTGCACCCAATTTCTCACTAAAGTAAACAATACCACACTAGACAGCCTTACATATATCCCCTAATGTTGTGAGGATTTTGTAAAGACTTGATTTTGTCTAGAATGATAGATACTTGTCCAATAGCTGCACTCAGTTCTCCTCAACCAGCTCTCTATCATCATCATCAGCCTTTGGTATCATCTATGAGTCTTAATTTGACTTCTCCAAAAGGAAATCCTAAATAAAGATTTCAATGAAAATTATGTATTTATGAGACACAGGTAACCCTAGTGGAGATAGTGGGCATATGAGATGAGGAAAAGAAAGAAACCGTTAAGAAAGTTAAATTGAACAAGTCACAATGAATTGGAATCAAGTTGATAACAACTAATAATAATTAGTAATTACCATTGTGGGCAACTGGAAGTCAGTTCTGTTGGGAGAAAGTGTTCTAGTTCGCTTGAGAGTTATCCCACCCAGGATCTGGGTAGCATACTGCATATAAATAATTTCATGAGTATGGCCTGGATTTATACAGTTAAGACTACAAATTGCTGCTTATACACTAATTCAAGTATAATTTAGAAGTCTCCTCAGATCCATTCTGTCTTGTTTCAAAAGTGAAAGGAAGAGAGTATGCCTTTAACAGGAAGCCATTGTCCTTTGAGGAGAGGAGCCTTTTGAGTGTATGTTAAAGGGTACTCTGAATGAAGGCTTTACTTTTGCTGAGGGTGGGACTTCAGCCTGGTGAAATGAGTGGGCCCTGCCTGCAGCAGTGAGTCAGTCAATCCTGGACCAAGAGGAACCAGGCAGGTTAGTGCTTTTACACCCATGATATGTGGCCCTGAGCAAGCCATTTACTTGCTCTGATTTTCTCAGCTGACAAACGTTTATCGAGCACCTAAAGAGTGGCACAGTGTGTAACACTGTTGTTGTTGTCGTCATGTGTAGTCAAGTTGACTATGACCCATAGGAACCCTACGAACAGTGGCTCCGAGCTTTGCCTGATCCTAAGCCAACCTCACCATCTCAGGCACACCTGAACTTACTGCCACAGTCACTGTGTCAGTTCATCTTGTCCAGGGTCGTCGTCTTCTGCTTTGATCCTTTACCCTTCCAAGCATGATGTTCTTCTGCAAGAACTGGTCCCCCTGCTGGCCACGTGCCCAAAGTTTATGAGACAGAGTTTCAAAATCCTTGCTTCCAAGGAACAATCTGATTTGATCTTCTCCACAATAGACCCTATTTGTTCTCTTGGCAGTCCATTGAGCTACAAAACATAAAAGCAAGAATTGGAATCCACCAGTTGCTCCTCAGAAGAAAGATGGGCAATTTATAGCTTAAAAAAAAATTGGAGAGTCAATGTAAGTCAAAAGTGATTAGAAGACAGTGACTTTTGATTGACCTTTTTTTGTTGGTTTGTTTTGGGTTTTTTTTTTTTAATTTGTTTAAAGGGTGATGAGTCTTCAGTGGAGTATAAAGGATATCACAGTGAATGGAGCAGCAATACTCTCTGACCTCATGAAATTTTTCCCTTGTTGGGAAGCATTAAACTAATAGTTACAGGAATGTGAAGGTGGTTAGGATGGTAGCACAGAGCTTGGGTGGCCTAGTGAGGAAGGAGTTGCACT